CTATTCCAGCTTTGCTCTGGAAGATTTAAGTCCTGCAGTCTGTGGTTAACCTTAAAAACTATTTCAAACTACGTCCATATGTTATTTGTAAACAAAGGGAAATGAGTTTGATCTAATATCAACAGATAGCGCCTCCTCCCAAACTTTAGCCCTTAAGTGTACTTAAGTGGTGCCCTTTCTTAATATTCTGAGACGTATTTGCACATCTACGTGAAAATACCTTTAATTTGACACCTCAAATGTTAAAATCCGTCAAACCGTTATTGAGTTATGACTGTGAAAAGAAACCTGCTTGCGTATTAATATATAGATTACATTAATTCGATTAAATTATTTAGATTATATATTGTTATGCCAAAACAAAAATAATTTTAACTGACCTTTTCACGATTTTAACTGATTAGATTCCACGAATCCATTCAGTTATTTGTTATGGGCCTACTATTATAATTTATGCATTTAAATTAACTAGAGGACCCAATCTGCTCTGCAGAGTTTAAATAAATAGCAGTTACCCATGGGCTTCACCCGCTTGACTTGTATTGTGCTCGCTACTGCTACTCGCAGTCTATTATGTCTGCATCTGCACGTCGGGACATGAACGTGAGTCATCTTCACTGATCGATAATCACCTGGCGCCTGCCGCCCGTAGTCGCGCCGCCCGTCACGTTAACCCGCTGCCTGCCGCGGCCAGGCGCCCTATTTGGCGGGCGCCCCTCAACGGCTGGCGCCCCTAGGCGCGTGCCTAGTGTGCCTTATGGTAAAATTGCCACTGCGTACAAGCAGTTCAAAATTATCGTATTTGGGGAAAATCATCATACACACAATTAATTTTTATGTAGGACTAACTGTATTATGATGTAGAACAAGCATAAAGGCCGGTCTACACACAAGGATTTCGCGTATGTTTTAAGTGAACTTAGCCTACCTAGTCAAGTTATAACAAAGAAATGCGTCCACACGGGACAGGTGTCAGCACCAATTTTTTATGTAGTTTTGTGATAACTTACAGTGTATGTGCACGTAAGATCATGGAAGATGTGTTAATTGTGGTCAATTTTAGCAGTCTTGAGTTGCAAGAAAGCAAAGAAATAAGTCTGAGCGAAGACGACACTCACTATGGTCAATATATTGATTATTTAAAAGACAAACATTTTCATAATCGTTTCTCTGTTCACGTTTGAGTCTACTGCTTTTTATTTTTTTCAACAAGATTCTTAAGTCTGATTCTTCTTGAATCACAGTCACTATATTCCTTACCTTGACCTTCCAAAAACAAGGAAAACTTCTGTGAAGTTCGATGAATTTGTCAATAAACCCACAGGAATATTGGCAAAGATCTGCCATCTTAAAAACACACTTTTATTCCTCTGACAGCACTTGAAGACAACACTGTGGACTTAAAAGATAAAGAGTGAAGACAATGACAGTGTAGCCTACACACGCAACGTCTCGTCTGAAAACGTTGTCAAAACTATGCTCTCCTCAATAGTTTTATTCCTCAGTCTTCCATCTCCGTGCAGTTCTCAAAAATGTACAGTTTTGCTGTCCACACGCAATGACTTACGAGAAATCCTTGTGTGCAGCCCGGCCTTGTCGATGATGATATGACCAAAATTTAACTCTAGGCTACTTGTTTCTGCCACCCACCGCTTTTTGCTCTACCAGTCTACCACTGAGCTAGAAAATATAAATTCTTCCGGAGGCAGCACTATCACACACGTACAGAATCTGCATATCTCCGCTAGAAAAAAAGTTGAAACGCTGTAAAATGTTGTTTTTTTTTTTTTGCTATTTATCAACTAGACAAATCAACCAGCTTATTGTTTTTTTTTGTTTTTTTTTTTTAATTTCATAACCTACCGTATCTAAAATTTATATAGCCTAATATTATTCCTTTTTTTTTTTGCTGAAACAAACTATATATAGGGCCTAATATGATATATTTACAAACGGTACTTTCCTGTTTTAAAAAGGGAACATTCATTATTATCGATAATTTCTTTTCGATATAGGTATCAATATTTTTGTTTTACTTCACGATCTGTATTCCTTCTGTTTGAATATCTTCAAACGCATTTAAATTAGGTACAAATTAAGAACTAACCTTGTTTAGGCAAACATAATAGCCTGATAAGTCATTGGATTAGGAAATGAAACTATTCTAAACCAACCTAACAATAAACAAACTTGCTGTTTCAAAATTTCGTTTGATAACAGAAAAGGCTTATGGGGAATATCGAACGAAATTTTGTAATGTTACACCAAGTTTGGTTGGTTTGGTTAGTTAAGAACAGTTTCTCAAAATAATATTTTTTTTTGCGAATTTCCCATATAGGGAATAAGCTATTACGGTAGTACTCATGGTAAGACCTGGACCCGGGACTGATTTACTTGTTCAATTTTGAAGTCCCCAGAGGCCAAAAACACCATCTGTTCAAATTAATATACTAGCCTAATATAAATGTGTCCGTTAGCACGATAACTCGAGTTAAATTGATCCAATATTGATGAAATTTGGTACCTATAAATGTGTAAACCTACATTTATTCGGACGAGTTCCCTAACCGGAATGATCGGACCATGGGAGCAGGAGCTTATGGGGGGTTTTATGGGGTATAAATTGATTTTTCCCATTTTCACCCTAAAAACGTATTTAATTTTGCAATTTCTTTGTAGCTAAACCATTTTGTAGAGCTTAGAAAAAACAAATAATTTAGTATATTGAAGCTTTATTATGACCTAATAATTATCAGAGAATAAGTAAACTGTTGTATTTTGCTTGTTTATGAACATATTTTGATCAAATTTGGAAAATGTATTCATTTCATACTAAACTACAGTAGACTCCCTCTAGTTCGGCTTCGGTTGGATCGGCCGCCGGATGGTCCGGCCCGGTCTCGGTGGGACAAGTCATATCGTCACGGGCGAATGACGTTCAACAGGATTCAACTTGAATGTTTAGTTTCCGGCCATAGGAGTAAACAATTCATGTCAGTTTAGTTGACGGGTGCTTTTATGGGTGAATTGTTGCGTATTACCTATGTAAAACTATGTTACACAACCTCTAAAGTACAAAGAACATTTTATAAATAGTTTTTCTTCAGTCTAATATGTTGAAATGCAGTGTTTAATTAAATATTTCGGACAATTTTTTTTATGCGGTAGGTTCCCCCATTATTGTTTTTGAAACACCACGGTTTATTTGACAAAAATAAATTAGGCTTAAGCAAAACAAAGAAATAGGCCATCGTTAGCTTCAAGATCCGCTTGCACTGACAATCATCTGCTCTTTACACAACTGATGTCTGCTGTGCGCTTGCTATCTCACAAAAGTTTGTGATTGGGTGATTAGTAACCATGGCAACTTGTTGAATGTGTGGATGAAGAGAAACCAAAGAAAGAATAGAAGAACAAAGAAGAAAGAATAAGCGTGTCATCCATTGTTATCTTTATCCTATTTTACGACTGTCGTTATTTTCTTTAAGACTAAGTACTATGATCTTATGCTGTTTTATGAGTTGTCTAATGTTTTTATCGACATTCTTATGTTCTGAAACAAAATGTAGTAGTAGCCTATGCTGACTACAGTAGCACTGGTAGCAGTAGCTTGCAGTACTAGACTTTCTATTGTTCTGTTCACGTGATTTATTGCTGTACGTACAGTGTTGTGTAATTTTTGTTTTGCTTGAGTAAGCGTGATTTTAATTTAAACGTTACAGTTACTACACCAAGGTTAATTACTAAAATAAACTACAACCGGTACCGGTAATTGCCACATAATTTTATCAATTAAAGTGTATAATTCAGTAAAAAATAATAAAAATATTTATTCAATTAACAAATTTAAAGGCTATGTTTTATAATTATCTGCTTCAAAACCCTTTTTATAGTCTGGATGATTATTTTAAACTGGGAGAAATTGTCCTTTAGTTTGGTTTTCATTTCGGTAAAGAACGTTCCGAATGGTGTGAATAGTGAATGTTGTAATATTTGGCCTGTAAGAGTATTTTGTTGTTTATGTTAAGACTTGGTTTGAAAACTGCTAATAGATTTTGTCAATTCGTATGTAAATGTATCCTTATGGCAAATAAAGATTGATTGATTAATTCTTGATTACGCAATACTATTATTTGTATTTTGATTATGCAAAATGTACTACATCCGATAAGTCCGGCTGTTTTGTAGTCCAGGCAGTGGTCCGGTCCCGAGGTGGCCGAAATAGAGGGAGTCTACTGTAGTAACATTTCACAAAAAAAAGTTATTTAGTACGGTAGGACTACTATTATTAGAATGAGCTTTTGCCACAGTAATATAGTTTAAGCGGAGTGCTCCGCCAGGCAGTGACCACATAGTACAAATGTACTATGTTGTTTGTAGGCCTACTATGCGGTCGCTGCCGCCGGGTAAGTATTATTCAAATTAAATAATATAATTTCTAATTCATTTCCAAGTAATTCTACTATTCCATTATTCCAAGTACGGTACTACACTCGGTACAAATATCTAAAGGTGGATAGAAATCCCTAAGTTTGTAATCCTGACAAACTACCATCAACAACTTCTAGATGGCTTTTAAGATGGCATCACTGCCATTGCCGCCGCACAAACTTGCGGCGCAGGGGCAGGGTATAAGAGGGGCCAAAGACTAAAGACAGATTATATGCACATGGAATTGTCTTCGTTCATTCTTATATGCGACTTCGGAGCGTACTCCTAGTGATATTTCCATAGGTACTCATACTTCACATGACTAAGTGGTGCGTGAAATATTTTTGTCCAATGAAGTGGTACACCAGTAAAAAAGGTTAGGATACACTGCTCTAGACCGAGTAATGGAGTGAGTACTAACTTACTTGACATCTTGTTTAAAGTATAAAAATGTAATTAATTAGTTTTTATCCTCTAATTAGATAATTTGCTCCAGACTGATTACTATCAGATTGAGTACTAACTTAATTTGTACTTAAGTTTAATTTAGTTCATTTTTCTTGTTACAGAATGACAAACGTGAGCCTGAGCACCTTAGAAAATTATTTATCGGCGGTCTTGATTATAGAACGTCTGATGATTCACTAAAGGCATTTTTTGAGAAATGGGGAGAAATTGTTGATGTAGTCGTTATGAAAGATCCAATGACAAAAAGGTATATGGTAACTGTTATTATTTTAAGATTGTTATGCCTAAGTATAAAATTTAGGCCTACTTAAGCTTAAAAATGTTAAAAAATCTAAATGACAACTCTGTTTAAGCTTAGTCTAGGATACCGTACCAATAACTGTATTGTTAGAAATTATTTATTTGAATTATTTTATTTTGTGTGTTTTTATGCTGATGGCATATTTTACGTTTTGAAAGGGACCTGTGTAAACCCTGGTATTATACCTATCTAATGTTAAAAGTTTTTGTTAGATAGCATCATTAATTCATAGCCCAATGACAAATGGCATTTGGGTCCAAAAAAATGGAACTGGGTAGAGGGTTGAAAATATCCAGTTTTACCCTTGTTATTCATCCTCTTTTTTCATTTTTAAGCGAATTTCCGCTATAGAGAAATTACTGTCCGTCTAATAAACTATTACTGTAGGTCTCATGGTAAGACCTGGACCCGGGACAGATTTACTTTTTCGTTTTGAGTTCCCCAGAGGCCAAAAACATCATCCGTTCAAATATATATATAAATACTAGCAGAGTACCCGTCCTTCGTACGGAATGGCATCTAAGCGTAAAATGCTTATTGCAGTTATACTCCAACTTAGCGTTTGCAATGGGGAAGGACATAGTTTGATAAAATTTGCTTCTTTAAGTTTATGGTATCTATTATAGCCATAATGTTCTACCACTTCACCTAAACAATATAGAAAAATAAACTATTAATAATTCGCAAAATATCACAAATTTTTCATGCAATTAAAAACATGAACATAACTGTAAACAATCCTACTTTGACAATTCTCATTGCCTATCTCAGTTTTTTGTTAATGCTTAGTTCAAATTAGGTGATTTCATAAATGCAAAAAAATAATAGTGCTGCACCCTGTTGGTAAATCTTGTAACTTTTTAATACTTTTGCATATCATAGAACCAACTTTTTTTAGTTGAAACAGCTGACTAAATTCTTTAATTCCCTTTAAATATGAATACTCATAAGGTTAACATGGGAAACTACAGAGACACTGGGGCGGAGCCCGAATGGATTTTTGAGATAAGCCATATGCCTATATATTTATATATATGAGATATATTTAATATGCCTATATGTTAATTGGGAATATGAGCTATCATCATGCCAAATTTCAGCCCAATCCGTCCAGTAGTTAAAGCGTGGTTGACCTTCAAACAAACACACAAACTTTCACATTTATAATATTAGTAAGATATGTGTCCGTTAGCACGATAACTCAAACAAAAATTATCCGATTTTGATGAAATTTTGTATAAACGTGTAAACCTAAATTTATTCGAACGAATTTGCGAACCAGCATGATCGGCCATAGGAACAGGGGTTTATGGGGGTTTTTATGGGGTAAAAATAAACCCATTTTTGACACCAAAAACATAAAATTTTGGAATTTCCTTCCCAACCATTTTGTAGAACTTAAAAAAAGAAATAATTTAGTATATTGAAGCATTGTTGTATGCCTAATGGTTACAGAGAAAATTCAAAATACAGTAGAGTCCCGTTAGTCCGAAATGGTTGGGACCGGGCCCATTTCGGATTACCAAATATTTTGAATTAAACATTTTTTGTTTTTTTTTTTAATTTTTTTTTGAAATTGTTTTGTCTTATTCTTACTACTTTTTTTTTCGGACGCAGGCACGAGCCCGGGATTGTTTTTCACATTACTTAAGGCTAGACCTATTGGCTGCAGCATTATCACTTAGTAAAATCCATATGTGATGTGATTTGGCGGACGAAAATGTAAAATGTTCCGGTAATAACAAAAATGGTGAAATATTAATCTACTAAAATACTCTACAAAAAAAGTCTATCTCGCCCAGCCGCTACAGAATTCTTTGACGAGGTACAGCTAACTGTGTCAAAAGTTAAATAAAAAAATTCAAAAACTTTCCGAAAAACTTCAAAAATTTCAGAAAATTAAAAAAAAAATTTTTTATTACAAAAAATTTAAAAATATATTTTTTGGTTTCGGATTAAGCGGACTTTCGGATTACCGAAGTTCGGATTGATTATCGAGACTCCACTGTAGTGCAAATTTAAAGTTCCCATGTTATTCTTATGGAGAAAATTAAAACTGTTGTAGTTTACTTGTTTATGGATGTAGGCCTATGTTGATCAAATTTGGCAAATTTATTTATTTCACCCTATACTATTGACGTTTGGTCAAAAAACACTGTTTACCTTCCCCGTAGCAGTAAACCTAAGCAATCGTTAAATCTAATGTTATTTAAATTGGGAATAAATATGTCTTATTTATGGAAATATTTGAGTAAATATGTAAGCAGACAAATTGAAATTCGCTTAGTCAGAAGGTTTGCTGCGGCGGGGGTATTGTTTTGATGTCCCCAGAGGTCAAAAACATCCTCCGTTCAAATTCATGTACCCCAATGCCCTTAAGCACGATAAATCGAGCAAAAATGATAAGATTTTGATGAAATTTGGTACGAACGCAAAACCCTAGATTTATTCAAACAAGTTCGTGAACCAGCATGAACGAACTAGGGTTTATGGTGGGTTTTATGGGATGAAAGTTGTATTTTCCATTTTTGGCCCTAAAATCATGAATTTTTGAAATTTTTTCTGAACCATTTTGTAGAGCTTAAAAAAAGGAACAAAAAATTATTAATAAATAACTAGTGTAGGCCTACCTGTTGCTCGAATTCGAGCAATTGCTAAGTATTACAGGTGTTATTTTAAAACGAATAACAGTCATAATTTCTGATGACTTTAAAAGATTTGACTCAAAGATTATGGGAAAACTCAAGATGTACATAACAGATCAATATAATAAACATTTCTTGTAAATAGTGTTTTCTACAAATAGCCTTACTCATAGCCGCATTAGGTTGTCCATAATAACGATTATAAATTCTTAAAAAAACATTATTTCTATTTCTTCTCCTTGGTGGTGTTCTATGACTTTCCTACGTTTCCATAGTTTGCAAATCGGCTCTTTCAATGATTACTAAGAAATGCAGCACAGTGTTAATTCAGTTTTCTTTTTGCTTTTTAGTATATCAAACTATCCTATCCAGGCTCTCGCTTTTTTTCCGCCAAGCCAAATTCAAATATTACATATTTCATTTCAACCTAGTCAGTAAATGTTTGTAGCAAACTCCTCGTTCTCACCACCACCTCTGGCTTAAGTCTGGGACTTATTTGCCAGGCCAATTCCCCATGAAAATCTTCTTTCATTTTAGGCTTCAGCCACTTTCAATCCTCGTCCAGACACATTATGTGTCCAAAAGCATAACAGCATGACCCCCTTCCCCATTCCGCCCTGAGTGATAGGTATCATTGAGATTCGCTCTAACCTTTCTACTCCCCTTCATGGGCAAGTTTTCATTCCTTTTCTTTCTTAGTTTTTGTTTGTTTCGTTTTAAAATTTAAAAGCCTGTATCCCTGGTTTTTCCTATTTCCCTAGCTACTTCTCTAAACGTCTCAATTGTTTCCTTGTCACTCATCATGTTTTATTTTCTCATCTCTAGACCTCTCTTATCCAAGACTTATTCCTGTTTTCTTCTATTTGTCTCCTAAAGTGAACAATTTATTAATACGTGACTCATGGTTTTTATTTCTCCACATCTACATACTTCCTCTTCCACCTGGTGAAATCTCCACAAATTCGCCTTGAAATTGCCCATGTCCTGTGACAAACTGCGTTTCATAATGGCCCATCTCCCAATCTTTCCAGTCTCTTTCTGATGTTAGGTATATATCCGAACGTTTACCTTTAAAACATTAACATAAAACACTCTGCTCCCAACGCATTATTGTCACTCATCTAATAACTCCTCTCTTCTGTTTCCAATGTAGTCCTACCCACCTCCTTGTCTTCCAAAATCAACAGCTTATGCAGCGATTATCCAACAGTCCTAAATTGATTGTGAAATCTTCAGGCGGCTGTTGGAGAGCACACTAAAACCCAACACGGAAGGGTGCTTGCTGTATTTGGCTATCAACGACAATAGTATTATTTGTATTTCGTTCGCGTCCATCAGTTAAAGTTCGTCAGGTACCTCCTATTGGCTGTCCTGGTCGACGTCTTGTAGTCTCCAAATGTCGAACGTTTTAGCGAATTTCCCTATAGGGAAGTAGCTATTACCGTAGGTGGCACGGTAAGACCTAGAACCGGGACCGATTTACTTTTTCATTTTGATGTCCCCAGAGGCCAAAAACACCATTCGTTCAAATTTATATATATGTATACATATACGTCCGTGAACGCGATAACTTGAGTAATTTTTGTCCGATTTTGATGAAATTTTGTTTAAAGGTGTAAAGTGGGATAAACTTGAATGAGTTCGCGAACCAGCATGATCAGACCATGGGAACGGGGCTTTACGGGGGGTTTTATAGGGTAAAAATTGGGTTTTCTCACTTTTGACCCTCAAAACACAAAATTTCCCAATTTCTCATTAGACCCTTTTAAAGAGCTTAAAAAACAAATAATTTAGTATATAGTATTTAGTATTTTTGTTCGGTTATTAGTAACGGTGAAAATTAAAAAAATTGTAAATTTAAAATTCCCATGTTATTCTTATGGAGAATATTGTCAAATGTTGTAGTTTGCTTGTTTATGGATATATTTTGATCAAACTTGGCAAATTTATTTATTTTGTACTAAGCTATCAATATTTTACTAAAACACACTTTATTAGTTTCCTTGTAGCAGCAAACCTAGGTACTCGTTAAACCTAAATACTGTAATGTTATTAAAATATATTTAATTGAAAATCAATTCAGACAAATGGAAATTCGCTTAGTCGGCAGGTTTGCTGCGGCGGGGGTATTTTTGGTTATGTTTTGATTTTGTGCAAATAAAAACTGGTTTAAAACAGTGAAACATCAATCTTTTCAACTAATCTAATAAATCCTTATAATAGCACATGTCTCCAATTTTTGTATAACCAGCTGTTTCAAATATTGTCAATTTCAAAGTATTCATCTGTTCAAATGTAAACAAACATTTTCTCCCTAAGAATAACATGGGAACTTTGAAGGCCACTGGGGCAGATCCTTGATTGAATTCCAATTTTTTTTTTTTTTTGATGGCAAAACTACATGCTAAGACCTTTCTAACGACACCTTGGACATGGTGATCGGTAGCACCACCGCTCCAAAACAATTATGACAAAAATATGCCTAGCGTATTAAATATATAGATCATCATGTTATTCTTATAGAGAATTGATAAATATGAATTTAAATCATATTTATTTTCCAGTACCACATGTATACCAGTTTTCTTCCTTAACCCTTCCAGGACTATAGGCGGATATATCCGCTAGCATTTTGTGCATAGGGGACGGTAGGCAGATATATCTGCTTATCTTTTTGGGCTCCTTGGACAGTACCGGATATATCCATTGATTATTTCGACAGTTATTTATTATAGCTATTATTATAGTTGACTGTCTATAACATCATTAATCTTTGTAAAAAGTTCTTTTATTCAATTATATCTTCAACCGATGTACAGTAACAGGAATATTTTTCTAAAAAAGTAAAAAATTTGATGAAAGAAAATTCTTTAAATTAAAAATTTTTTTGGACAAAAGTGCTGCATATAGGTCAACTATTTACAAAATTCTATAAACTATACACTTTTTTTAGTTTTTATTTAGGGAAATGAAACAATTTTGATGTCTACATACTAGAGGCCGTCTAGGAAGTGTTAAATATATGTTTTATAATACAATTTGGCAGTTTTGTTTATCTCATACTAAGCAATCAACATTTCAATAAAAAATACCTCATAGTCCCTGTAGCAGCAAACCTAAGTAGGGTAGGCTACTCATTAAAATCAATGTTATTTATATGGGAAATAAATCTGACATTTTGTACGAGAATTAGTTTTTATCCACCTAAATGTAAGTTAAATTAGTAGTTCATGATACACTACAATAAGATTGATGCTTTTTATTTGTTTAGCTAAAAATGCCAACAAATAGGGTTTTATTTAATGTCATAAAACTAATCTTTATTTTTTTTATTATTTCAGATCTAGGGGATTCGGTTTCATCACATATTCAAGCACAAGCATGGTTGATGAAGCCATGTCAAACAGACCCCACAAAATTGATGGAAGAGAGGTGGAAACCAAAAGGGCCGTGCCAAGAGATGAAATAGGCAAACCTGAGGCAGGCGCCACCGTCAAGAAAATGTTTGTTGGTGGCATCAAAGATATGATCGGGGAAGAGGAATTAAAAGAGTATTTTGGGGAATTTGGAAACGTTGTGTCTGTATCCATTCCAGTTAACAAAGAAAGTGGAGTTAAAAGAGGATTTGCATTTGTTGAGTTTGATGACTATGATCCTGTGGACAAAGTTATTTGTGAGTAGCCTTCTAATACTTGGATCCAAAACTAATGTTAGTCACATCATGTTGTTTAAGCTAAATGCATATAAGATGTAAGAAAGGTTTAAAATGAGGCTTTGTTATATAACTTTTGGAAACCGGTTACAATAAAACAGATAATGCGATGCTAGTACGGACATAGAATAGAACCAAGCAGATGATTTTACTCACCGGGTTTATGACGTTCTGTGCCTTCTTGATTGGCTAGCCAGCCGATTGGACCTTGACCGTGGTTATCGTTGTCTGTCTCTGTCGGTTGGTTCGCGTTTACATGCTCTAATTATTTGTACAATCTGATTTGCATTAACCAAGTTTAGGCAAATTGGTTTGAATAAGGCACAACCGTTTAAGACGCTAAGATATTTTATACTCAAACATCACTTCCTCCGATTTGCGATCACCAGTACCGGTTTTGATTGCTATGGAGAAGTTGCTGTTGTGGTGTGTTCAATTTTTTTTTTCCAAGAATAGTAATCCGGAAACGCAAACTGTCTTATGACGGGTCTATAATAAAACAGGTCTTGCTGCTACAAAGTCCAGTTTATTAAGGAAGCGTCTAGGCTAGTTAACAAGTGGGGTGGGGGACATGCAAGTCGCGCCCTTATCATGTTTGACCTCTGGTCTATGGAACTTAATTAGCCAGAACGAATTAACATAACATATGTATTACAAATTAAAATAATATGACATCTCCCTTTTCATATAAAAAAATAAAATCATCAACTTTGAACACTAGGCCTAAACAAAACTTATCTTTTGGCAGAAGCAACATATTAAAATACAAAATTAAAAACTCATCTAGCCTATACAAAGAGATCAGTTGGCTATTACATATTACATAAGTTTAAACTATAGCAGCATTTAATATTATTTTTTTATTTTTATTGAAGAATCAAAAAATCACAACACTAAATAAAAACATTTTTCAATTGAAATAAAACATTGCGACTTAGCCTATTTAAAACTAATAAATTCTTTGTGGTGCCTTTACTACCCTACCAGATCTAGTTCTATAGGCCATGTCAGTACTTTGGTTAGGTGATGTCACCTGACGGTCACGGTTAGGTGAGGTTAGGTTTCTGACAGGTGACCGTTTAATTAATTAATCTGATCATTTATACTATTTACATTTTTTGTTTTCCACTGATTTGCAAAGTGATTCATGATTCCACATTTACCACAACGTTTACCAAACGCAGGACATTTCCCATTAAAATTATGGTTGTAACCACACTTAAAACACTTTTTTACCGAACCACCTAACTTTTTGTAACCTGCAAAATGTGATCGTTGTTAAAACCTGCAGCCGACGTAGATGTAGTGGGAGGGGGACGGTTCCGATCAGCTGATGGAAATCCTCCAGCAAGCCCTGTCCGTTTGCGATGGTTGCTATGACGTATAGCATCTGACGTCATCGAGTCGCTGCCTTGTCGATTTGGTTTGCGTCTGTCGATGTCTACTTTATGTAGGCCCATGTTTGAACCTGATTCCGTGGAACATATTTCTTGTAACTGATGATTAGCCGTCTCTGAGGCTCTACAAATTTCTAATGCTAAACTCAAGGTCAAATCTTTAGTCCTTAATAAACGATCTTTTAGAGTCCTGTCTTTTATTCCTAAAATCAAGCGATCTTTAATTAGACTATCAGTCAAAGTACTAAACTCACATGTACTACTTAAATCTCTTAAGTCAGTCACATAACTATCAATGTTCTCATCTTGCTTTTGTTCTCTTAAAAAGAAAACATGTCTCTCATACGTGACATTTTTGCTAGGAATAAAATAGTTAGCAAACTTATCAATTACAACTTTAATGTTATTTTTATCTTCATCAGCTGAGTACGCAAAGTTATTATAGATCTTGAGTGCACGATCGCCTATCACTGATAATAAAAGAGCAATTTGATATTCACTATTTTCTTTGTTGCTTTTACTTGCAACCATATAAATGTCAAATCTCTGTTTAAAAAATGACCAGTTCTCGGCCATGTTACCTGTCCAACTCAACTCTGAGGGAACTTTAATTGACGGTGCTGCATTTTGTACCACAATGGCGGCAGCTGGTGACGATGAAGTCAATGAGCGTCCTTCTTGACCTTGTCCATCGCCCGCCGTCTTTTCTTCTCCCTGTCCAGGCTTCATTTCTAGATCACTTCATTAATTACGCACTCTAAAATACTTTCAATATCTCGCTCATGAGTATAAACATAATTGTCACTGGTTGTAGAAACAAAAATTTAGCCATTTTCGTACTGCGCCATGTCTTATGACGGGTCTATAATAAAACACGTCTTGCTGCTACAATGTCCAGTTTATTAAGGAAGCGTCTAGGCTAGTTAACAAGTGGGGTGGGGGGCATGCAAGTCGCGTCCTTATCATGTTTGACATCTGGTCTATGGAACTTAATTAGCCAGAACGAATTAACATAACATACAAATTATAATAATATGACACAAACCGATCAGCAAATGGTGAAGGCCTTGGCTTCTGAAACGAAGCAAGTTTTCCCACATGAGGCTCTTAAGCCAATTTTAACCAAACAATTGAAAAATTACTGGAGTATGACTGAAGATTGCTATGTAGGACTTCTAAACTTTTTCTCTCCACTCGTACAGTATAAAGATACCGTAGTGAGGAAAGCAAGAAATTGATTCGTGGGAACACTCATATTAGGTTAGCTTTAGGGGTGAACGAATATTTGAACTTCAAACGTTTTTGAATCGAATATCAGGATACTCGATTCAAAATTTTGAAATAAGATCAAATGAAATATTTAAATGATAGACATACCATTTAAAAGTAGGTTTTATTCAATTACTATTCCAAATTAAATCAATATTATTGTTTCATAGTTCTAAAAAGTAAATTAAATAAAGAAAGTCCAACTACGAATTAACTGTCAACGTCATGAGTACGTAAGATCGGCAGAATAGAATACAAACAACTGACACGACACCAGCGTAGCAGCTCAGATTTGAGTTGAATTCGAATCCACCAAATCCTAAGGAAAATTCGGATTCAAGATTCGATTAACGAGATCCGATTCTTGAATCTCGGGTCCGCTGATAGAATACGCCGACTCGCCGCCAGCTTTATAATATTGTGTAGCAGCAGTGTCGATCTACGCATAGCTGCAACAAACCCAATCTCGGTCTCAAAACTCAAGGCCGGGTCAATCCATTTCAAGTGGTCCAAAGGTGGTTGCTTCAAGATTTTTAAATTTTTTGATATTTTTATCCTTGAAAGTATATATTATTAGCAGTACCTACAAAAATACAATTATTTTATTTTTATTTGATTTTTCTACTGTATGGCGGCCATTTTTTTGTTACTTGAACGCCCGTTTTCAGTGATTTCAGAGCTCTGCGTTAAATTAAAAATATCTGGTTCTACTAATCCTAGAACATTAAAATAAAATTTCGACTCAAAGGATGTCTACCAATTTCCTGAACACAATCCTTTCACAGATTTTTACCTGTGGCAGACAACAAAGAGTGTTTTAAAATATCAAAATGCTTAAAATCTATGATTAAAATATAACATTGTAAAAAAATACATTGATAGTGTGTTATAATATAACATTATGCTTCCTACGCTATTACGGCTATAATGCTTATTTAGTACTTTTCAATGTTTCATAACTTTGAAACCAGTTGAGTCCACAAAATAAAATTATTACAGCATAATACTCTTACTTAGTATTATATTTTCAAGCCAAATTTGAAATTTTTATTTTCATGCCCAACAAAGATATTAAGAATCAAACTTTTGAAATTTTGAAAATTTTAAGATTTTGAAATTTGTTATTTCAAACTCTATGCAAGTCCACAACTTGAAACTTTGAGAATTTGGAGTACACGCCTATATAACTATGAGATAAAAAATAACAAACACATAGTCGATTGCCTTCATATAAAAATAAATTGTTAAAAATCAGTATTCGTTGCGTTAAACTTTAAACAGGTAATTAGACCTATATATTTAGTTTTAAGTGCATAGATATATTACCATATTAAAGTTAAGATCTGGAGTACACGCCTATATAACTATGAGATAAAAAATAACAAACACATAGTCGATTGCCTTCATATAAAAATAAATTGTTAAAAATCAGTATTCGTTGCGTTAAACTTTAAACAGGTAATTAGACCTATATATTTACTTTTAAGTGCATAGATATATTACCATATTAAAGTTGAGATCTTTCTGAAGAGATTGGTTTTTATTTTAATGTTCTAGGATTAGTAGAACCAGAGATATTTAATTTAACGTAGAGCTCTGAAATCGCTGAAAACGGGCTTTCGAGTAACAAAAAAATGGCCGCCATACAGTAGAAAAATAAAATAATTGTATTTTTCTACTTCTAATAATATATACTTACAACGATAAAAACATGAAAAAAATTAAAAATCTTGAAGCAACCAATTAATTTATTTCTGGACCACTTGATATGGATTGACCCGGCCATGACTTGAATTACATCCTAGTTGAATATTAATTGTATTTTAAAAGGGATAGGCCGATAACAGAATTTCTCGATTCGGTACCAGTTCTGAAATAATACTCACGAATCTCGATACCGATTCCATATTAAAAAAAAACTCATATCTTTAAGGAATATGCCATGGTCAATGTTTTGTTGTTAGTTTAAACTCTGAATCAGAAAACCGGCGTAGTTCATGCAGTATAACACCAGGAACGCTAGAAACCTCGACACCCCTCAATGCAGACTATCCAAATCCCTGAATAGCTTCCCAGTGACCGCAATTAAACTCTTCAATAGTCTGCCTGAAGAAGTCAAAAGTATGGATGTGGCTGGGTTTAAAACCTCAGTGAAGAAAAAACTTCAAAATAGGCCTATCTACTCATTCAAAGAATTAGATGACGTGCCACTTTTTTAACTCGCCGCCATCTCAGTTCAGTTTTAAAATTAAATTTGACGATAATATAAACATAACCAAAATAAATAATAGATTA